ATCCTCCTCCTCCTCTTCTTCCTCCTCGTCCTCTTCACCCTCTTCCTCCTCCTTCTCAGCGTCCTCGGCCTCGGCTTCCTCGTTGCCCTCCTCGTTGGTCTCTTCCTTGGCCTCCTCGACAGGTTCCTCCTGCACAATCCAGTCAGCAAAAAAATTGGCAGCACACGCAGACAACAGGCCCGCAGCATCAGCTGTCGCGATAGCTGGCGATCGGACGGCGAACAAGGTCTCGGGCCAATGGCCTTCGGAGGCAGCTCTGTTCGCCCAGTCACAAGGCGGTTTTGCTCGGGGATCGGCTTACCTGAGGAGCCGCGGCAGGAGCCTCGGCCTCGACGACGCTCCAGGGCGTCACGGCCTCGACAATTTCGGAAAATGCGTCCCAGATACCCATGGTGTATGAACTGGAGAAACCAACAGTGGGCAATTGGTCTTGTGCTGCGATTGGAGTGGTCTTGCGTTGGGGGCAAAGTGGTCGGAAGCTCTCGGCCAAAATCGCGGAGCGGAAAACTGGTCATGAATTGAGGCATTTTGATTGGTCCCACTGCCTGAAGGTCGCGGCACGTGAGAGGTCACATGATGACAATGTATATCCCCGTTGACAACTGGCTTATTGGAAAGAGCACAAATACAAATGATTTATAACCGGTTCGAGTTTCCAATTTCCAACTAGTAGATGTGTGCCGAATTTCTGCGTCAGGGTGACTGATGTTCATGCTGTCATCGCGTGGTTCACACACCAGATAGGTCCAGCACTTGGCCAGGGAATGTGGACGCCAAAGTGGAAGGAAATTGTGTATTTATAGTATAAAACGCCATAAAGCAACGCCATTTATTGCTGAAATACTGAGTGTTTCTCATTACGCCACGGTGGTAGCTCTGTTCATCAGATCTAGGTTCATGCATAGTCGTGTCATACCCGCCCTTGGATCGATTTACGATTCATTTTCTCCTCGGTTAACACCGTCTCGGATGTGGTCTTCCAATCGGTTGCTCAGCTGCTGAGCTTGAGCCTCATCATAGTCGGGAGGGGGTTCGTTGGGCGCACGGCGGCTGGCTGAGCTATCAGAGCGGACGTGGCCGGGAGCAGGCACATCCAAGGCGCCGACGATGGGCTGCGCAGGAGAGCTTGCAGCTTCGTATGCGGGCAAGGGTTCATCGGGGATATCTGCGCCGGGTCCCATTTCGCGGCGCATCTCTTGAAATTGAAAAAGTCTCTCGCGGAGCCGAATGTAGGCGTCGTTAAACTCCATCATGCCACCGTCTGAAAAGGTGAACTTGACTTCAACTCGGGGTATGTCTGGCGGTATGCCACCACCTGATACTGGAATACAGTCCGACTTCCATACCCAGCCCCACCACATTGACGAGGATGTGGAAGAATCTTGGAATTTGAGGATAGGGGCGCTGAAAGACTCGAATTTTGGTTCTTGGGTCGCCTTGGCCGGAAGATAGACAATCTGAAAAAAGGAGTGTTAGTTGAGATGGTCGTGTCAACAGAAGGTCGCGTTACGTACTCTTTTATTTGTTAGAAACAAGGAACCCTTGTCACTTTTGCGATGGAACTGCGCGCCAGTTGCCCGCAGCTCCTGAGGTACGGAGAGGTCGCATGAAATTCTGGAGTCGAGCTTGAGGAGGATACGTTCGTTTCCGAGCTTGACGAAGCCGCTCTCGTTGAGCATGACCCAACTATGCGCATTGTCAGGGTTTATTTGCCGGGGCTGAGCAGGGGAGGAGATGAGGTAGTCATGAGGGTTGTCCATCACAGGCCAGGACCGGAGCCCATGGCTCCATGAGGATGTATCGGGGCGTCGAGGAAGCAGTCGAGCGAGGGAGCGAGGCGGTGATGGAAGTGATGAATTGGAGTTGGCAGCGGGGAAGAGGAAAGGCTTTGGCAGAGAACCAGCGAGGGAGCCAGCGATGTAGAAGTAACTGGGAGGCGTCCAACGCAGGGCAGGTTGAGCTGGGCAGGCAAGAGATGAAGAAGAAGAAGAAGGAAACGGGGACAGGCGAGAAGAGCTTACTTTATGGACATGTTGACGGCAAGGGTCGCCGAGGATCCTAGCTCCTTACTGAAGTATGCTTTGGGCTAGGATGTAATATGGGACACCTTGTATCAGTGCGGCGCGTTGCAGAGGCGTGCAGGTGTCGCCCCGAGATCTGGCGAGGCTCAAAGGGCGTCTGGGCGTCTGTGACTTCTCGCTGGTGGGGGGTGGGGCGAGATAGTCTGGTGGCCCGAGTCGCAAGTGGTGATGGTCGAGGACGCGGCGCGATGTACGAAGTAGTATGGCCAACGACGTGTGTATCCGTTTGCTGCCACGCACCGACCCGAGGGCAGCGATTGCGTGTACAGGTAGTGCACAAGGCTGAAGCGACGCGAAGCAGATTGGGCAAAGAAGAGCAACTGGTATTCTGAGGATAGGAGGGGGGTGGATGGATGGATGGCGGATGGCGGGATGGGGATGAAGAGGGGATGATGGTTGGATTAGGCATGATGTGGATGTGGCAGCGGATGGCCCCGACGGCGACAAGAGAACAACGCGAGATGGATGGGACATGACGTTAGGTACTAGTTACCTACAGTACACCTAGGTAGGTGGCTTTGGCAACCGTCCCCGTTACTACAACACCGCGGGTTGAACCAAAGCAAAGTGTAATATATTGGTTCCAAGAATGCAAATAAGGCCTTCTGACATTTCCAGATTCATGGCCAAAAACGTGATAAGGTTCTTGTCGGCGTCGACATGCCAGGCGGCCAGGCGGCCAGCCAGGCTCGGTTTCAGGTTAGAGGCAGCCTGCCTACCCGTAGTTAGTGCTGTAGATGATCTACCGAATCCCTATACGACTCTGATAGCAAGCAGTTCGTAAAAAACCTCCGGGTCTGTGTATCTTGACCAGGCTTCCAGCTTGCTGACGCTGGACGTTCTTCTCAGAAAGAACCCTTGACACCTGAAATGCGCACCACCTTGGCCGCGTGTGTGGCTTGCAGAAGAACCACAATAGCCCTAATAAGCCGACTGCCTCCACCGTCGATGCTCGCCTGTCCTGGTTGCTTGTCTGGTATCCGTACTGGACAAGAATAATACTCGTCGTTTCTCGAGGCGCCCAGTGGAGTCTCGGTGTCGTTTCTCTTTGTCAAGTTGGGTCGAGGCTGGTGACACCAGTCTCCATCTGCACTCTCTCCTCTCGACTCGCCGGCTTTCCCTCCACTCACAGCCCTGAGTGGGATATGCAGACGTCCTTGCTCATCTGTGTGGCCGGCGATAATTTGATATTTGCTACCAGGCACTAACTAGCCAAGATGCTTGTGGCACCATTTATTAGCATAGCCGCCAGAAGCCACAGTTCTTTTATTAGTGGACACCGACAATGCCGCTTACCACCAGATTTCCATCGCCCATGGCTACCATTTTTTACGTAGACCGAGGAACAAAAATAAATTCTGGAATGTGCCAGCACGCCCAGCTCGGCCACCATCCGGTCGGCCTCCTCTAATAAGGCGGTACGTGTCTCAATAACGGATAGCTGCCTGCTTGGGGCTCTGGCCATCAAACATATGTAGGAGCAAGCTGTTGTACGAGATATATGTGCTGCACCAGCCATGCTACATCAGCCCTGCGTTAATAGGCGGCCTGCATTGTATCAGACTAAATTGTTTGCATTGAGAGCTTTCATTCGTCCAGCGTCTGCGCCGTATTGGTTCGAGTCTGACAAAATCGTTCACAGAGAAGCTCACATTCTCCATGTGGTAGCCCAGACGACGACCGGCACATGGTGGGCTTCGACAAACATATGTAGGACAACTAGTGGTTCGAGCAAGCCTCGGCGATCACAGGCTTCCAGAGGCTAGATGGTTATTTCTTTCCTTGAGAGGCAAGAGGCAAGCTCGCTGTCCGCCCAGCCCCAGTACTCCGCATTGCATACAGATGTTGGTGTCGCAGGACTTACCAGGCCGCTGGTGGTGGTGGTGGAGATGGCTGGTATCGTCTTGCCCGATTGATTCTAGCAAAAAAAGGTTAGACTAGGAGACTTTCTGAATATGCAGCTAGGAGAAATACTTGCCTGTTTTGCATATCGTGGCGGAAGAACTTGCGCCTATTCCGCGGGTAGAGCAATGCCCTGGCTGGGGTGTGCTTAAGAGCTGGGCATGCTTGGATTTCCGAATGTTCCCCTCGGGCGCCGCATTCATTGATGCAAGGGGCCCGGTTGTGAATGTCCAAAAGATCAATCGCAGGCTGAAAGTACATATGGACGGGGAAAATGGCCGTTTGCTCGCCATCCAGCTTACCTAGGTACCTTGGGTAGGTAGGCTTGCCAGCTGTCAAGCTGCCTGTCAAAAGATTTCTCCCTCCTCCTCCACAATTGACTTTCACTCCAACAACACCTGCGCGGATCTTGCTGTACGTGTCTGAGACTACAATCCATCCAGGCATCAACGGCAGACAATACCGCTTCAACCCAACTGCACGCTTGTGTAGTAGACACACCACCACCCCCATGATGGCTCTAGGGTCGCACCATGATGGATACACCAATGCTTACATTTCTTCATTTATCCACCTTGCCGAGTCTTTGGACTTGAACGGCTGCAGCTCCGGACGTTGACTGTGCTTTAACGAGCTACCCTCTGGGCGGCCAGCTAATGAAGCACAGCCAAACCTTTTTTCGGTGGATTCCAGCATTCCAGGAAGACGACTCTGCTGCGGGCTACTGTACCTCTTTTCAAAGACTGGCTGTCCGTTCAGGCAACATAATCATGGTGTGTGGTCCTCGCGTGCATCGTACATTACGCAACTGCTGCTGATACTGAATATTGGCTCCCTCAGTACATACTTTGGCGGGCCACTCCACTGATCGAGGCAAGATCCAAGCTAATCCGCTGGCAGCCAAGCCGCTGTTGACTCTTGTCTCCTTTCTTGCATCTTCACGAGCCAAAGTTTCACTTGTTGCCATCACCGCTCTTTACGCTTGCAACCAACTCGTTTTTTTTGTTTCGCACTTGGGCGTGTCACAGCGGCGCCTTGTGCATGGATCAGCCTTGCCTCCTTTTCCTCCGCTGTCGCCTGCATACCAGTCCCAGTGATTTTGTGTGCCCTAACTCAAGTTGCGCGCCATTGCTGACCAGCAATCCCGAGGTTCATTGGCTTTGCTTGCTTCCGAAATCGCTCCGTACCCTCCTCGGTTGGGCCTCCCGGCAGGACTCGACGTACTGCACACATGGCCATGTGCGCTTCGAGGTTGATTGGCCGGCCGGTGTGCCGCGAGGCTGTGTGGGCCGCATTTCCGACAGGGACTTCCCGGACAAGCTTACTCTGCGCTGGTAGGCTCCGGGGATATTCCACGCACTCGACACAGCTCCGACCAATTCTAGTGAATAACCGAGCTACAACGTCAACCGGGACATTCGGTTGCGCACATCAACGAACTATGTCTTCCGCCGCCGTTTTCGCTCAGGCCATTAGCGAGCTGGAAAATTACACGGCCTGCGATATCTCCGATGCGCTCCTCAAGCTCAAGGTGCCGGGTGCCGGGTTCATATCCGATCTCACCCAATACAGCCCGCGCAATACGTCGAGTGGCAGCATCAAGGAAGAGAAAGTGACAGTAGCGCCGGTATCCACAGTCTTATTTACAGCAAAGGACGAGGATCCGGCCACGACTAGCTCGCGACCTGCGCCGAACTTTCCCAAAAACACACACTGGGTCGACAATGCCGTTCCCGGGACATTTGCCATCCTGCAACAGGCTGCCGGCCAAACAAACGCAATCTGCGGAGGCATCATGGCCCTGCGTATGAAGGTCCTTGGTGTCAAGGGTATTATCGTGGCGGGTCGCGTGCGAGACTTGGTAGAACTGCAAAGCACGGAGCTCCCTGTATGTAGAAGACATGTGTTCCCGACATCCACGCCACCATGCATTCACACGGGATAGGCTAACCGATATCCAGATCTGGGCACTCGGTACGTCAACTGTCGGATCGGGCGGTAGCAGCACGCCCTGGGCTCGGGAGGTTCCGCTGACGATCAACGGTGTGCTCGTCACACCCGGTGATCTCGCGTTCAACGACCCAGTCAACGGAGTGGTTGTCATCCCACAAGACAAAGTCGCCCAGGTGCTGGAGCTCCTGCCGAAGCTGACCTCGGCTGATGACAAGGCCAAGGCCGACGTCGCCCTTGGTGTGTCCGTCAAGGAGGCTTTTGAGCGCCACCGCGGATAAGACGCGAGTACATGCGCTGAACAACAACGTCGTAGGATAACAAGAACTTGTTTCAAGATGGAGATTTTTCATATTCGTCAATTCATTAACATGCTAGGGTGAAACCATTTCCGAAAATGCCCATGTACCAAGAAAGGAAAGTGGTGATCCCCCTGTAGGACAGTAACCTAGGGATCGAAAAAATGAAGACAAAAGAAAAAAAGTGGAAAATATACAGCCAAGGCATGATCCATGCAGAGCAGTCCCAATGATCGAAACATCAACTCCTGCCCCTTTTCTTGTTCGCCCATGCAAATAAACTCACACAGCAGCCCCATCAACGGCTCCCATCCGTCCATCACAAGCCCAAGTCGAACCGGGGCATGTCGAGCTTCGGTGCCTCTTCCGCCTTGTTGCCCGCCGCAGGGGCTTTGCGCGGGGACGCGGGCCGACTGGGTGTCTCGGGCCCGAAGCGCACGTCACGCACGTCCCAGCCGTCCTCGGCGGCGGCGGCGACCCACGTGCGCAGCGCGGCGTGGACGCTCCCGTAAAACTTTTCCTTGCAGAGGCGCAGGCTGCCGCCCATGCAACGCTCCCAGCCCGAGACGCGGAGCTGGGCGCGGAGCGCGTTGCGGGCGTCGCGTGTGGCCGAGCAGGCGACAATGGCGTTGACGAGGTCGAGGTGCGAGGCCAGGTAGTTGGTCGCGTCCCACTCGACGCCGCCGACGTACGGCGCGGCCGCGACGGGTGGCCGCTCGGCGGCAAAGTGGCGGTGCATGTAGGCGTACGGCGCCGCGACATCGCGGCCGCCGAAAAAGGTCCCGTCGCTGCTGCTGCTGTGGTTGTTGTTATCGTCGTCGTGGCAGGGCGGAACGGGGCGGTGGTCCTGGGGGAGCGCAACGACATTCATGTGGTGCAGAAAGATCCAAAAGACCTCCTTGGTCACGGAGACGACTTCCTTGCACCACACGCGGTAGGGCCGCTCCTGGTGGATGCCGAGGAGAAAGGGCAGCGGCTGGTCCTCGTCCTTGGGCTGCGGGTCGCGCAGGTGGCCGAGCACGTTTTTGGCGCGCAGGATGCGCTCCGCGGGCGAGGCGGCGGCCATGTACATGAGGAGCACCGAGGTGATGATGTTGCGCGTGGTGAACTCGCTGGGGCCCTTCTTCTCGGGGTCGAAGATGAGGTGCAGCAGCTTGGGCAAGAGGTCGGCCTGCACCGTGTGCAGGTACTCCATGCCGAGCGCTGTCGTGGAGAGCGCCTTGAGACAGAGCAGGTTTTCGTGTAGCAGAGCGTCTTCATGCTCCTCTCTATGCGTCGTGTTTGTTAGACAAAAACTCATCTACAAAACCGGGTAGCGCTCGTATACATACCTCCATTCGACGGCCATGATGCGGTTCAACAGACCGACAATCTCCTCGAGGCCACCTTGGCGGATAAACTCTTCCGTCCAGGCCACCGTCTCGTTGCGAAGCAGCAGACGCAGCTTGTGCAACTTGCCCACCTCCACCACCTCGGGCTTCTGCACCTTGCGAAGATAGGCCACGTAGTCGCTCGGCCCTTGCTGGAACTTGATCTTGGCGAGCACACTGGAGCCGGTACCACTCGAGGACGCGGGGTGATCGCGTCCGACGCTCTCTGTGGATTTGCTGCGGAAGCGACGCCCAATAGACCCTTCCGGCTTTGCCTTTTTGGACGCGGATCGATCCCGCTTCCCTCGCGAAAACGTAAAGCTCCGGCCCCGACTCCGGCCGCGAGCCCGCTTGCTGCTGGCGTCGTCCTCGGCGTCCGACTCCACGGCCGCCGCCGTGGTCGTGTGGCTGCCGCTGTCGCTCCTCGGCAAGCTGCCCGTTTGACCGGCCTTCATCTCGGCCCAGTCCTGCCGGATAAACTCCATCTTGATGGTGTCGCTGAGGTTGCGCATCTTGTACCGCTGGTTCTGCGGGATGTTGCGCCGGTCCAGCAGCGCCTCTAGATGCGTGGCAATCTCGCTCGGCGCCATGGCCGGCTCGGCCGTCACGACCGACCGGCTACGCGCATGGCCCCTGACGCCAGACGTGCTGGGCGGGCTGGCGTTGGCCTGCTCCTGGGGCGTCCTGGGCGTACCTTTGGTGGGAGACTGCGGGCCGGCGCCTTGCATGGATGGGTGGCACGACTGTGGCCGCGGCTTTTTCGCTTTCTCGTCATTCGTAGAGGTGAATTGCGCGTAGATCGGTGGAGGCTGGGTCGCGGGCGATTCCGGGCCTTGGTTCTCCTTATCGCTTGTGGACGGATGCCGACTGCTGTCCGTTCTGGGTCTCTGCAGGTTGATAAAGGACTTGGGCCGTGACAGCAGACCAGCGAGGTTTGTGGAGGACTTTTTGGACTTTGGTGGTTTCGTGGGGGAGGCTTCGCGCGAGGCCGCAGCCCGGCCGGCGCCCCATCTATCACCCATGGACTTGAGGGTCGGGAACGCAGACTTGGTCGGGGACTTGGACCGGCCTCGGTCATCGTCTTTGGACTTGACAGGCGAGCGGGGGCCATGGTCCTGGTGGTTGCGCTGAATCTCGCCGAGCGCGACGGGGGCAGCTCTGCCTAGGTGTCCGATTGGCATCTTTGCTCTGGATGCGAGGATCGTAACAAGTCGTGGGGGGTCTCGTAGTGTTGATTCGGTTCTGTAGCTACCGTGTTTGCCGGCAGTGGTGGATGATGTCGTAGCTGTCCTGCCGTCGTCAAACAAAGGAGCAAGAATGCGAGCAAGCCGAATGTAGTATGGTCTGGATACAATGATGGCTCCTGCGCCGACAGTATAAGTAAGCCAGGAAGAATTGGTGGTAGACAAAGATGCTCAATCTCTCGACCCTGCTACGCAGACCACTCAAGAGGTGCTCAAGAACGGAAGCCCATGAGCAAAGAGAAGAAGCAGGACCACGACTAGCGGGAAGAATGATACATATAGAAAAAAAACAAGAAGAGAAGAAAGGGATACGAGAGCAAAAGAAAAGAGACGTTTTGGTTGACCGCTGAGAGGAGCACAGCCATCAAGGCGTGGGTTCACATCTTAAGGTACAATGCATCGAGTGTTTATGGAGGGGCGTTGCCGTGACAACCCTTGACCTGCAGGTTAGTTAGGCTTTTGGCTGAGTGACGAGTGACGTGCATGCAGGGAGCGTGGGGGATGATGTCCCGGCGTGGGACTGGAGAAGAGAAAGGCAGTTTCTTGAAAATAATTTATAATTAATTCAAAGACCTCTTGGATCAAGTTCTGCCAGTTTTGGTGACGATGCTGACGGATTTTCGTCGAGTATGTAGTCAAGTTGACTTAGACACTTGTCCCTGACCTAGCGGCCGTTGCGTTTCAAGCATAAAGGCATTTGATGAGCAGTACCACCAACTACTTTTTACACCCGACTTCGGCGCTTTTTTTAGCGTTTTCTAGTTAACCGGCGAGCATCCCAACCAGCTGCGCTCAGACCACCGCTGTCGTCTACATGTGAGTAGCTATCCCCGGCGGACTGTGTCAGTCGCCATCCCAGTGGAAACGCAATCTTTTCATTTCAATTGGATCATGATGCAGTTCTTGTGCTGAGGATAAGTGGCTAGTGTCTTGTGTAAGTGTTGTCTCTTGCCTCCTTCCGTCATCTGTGGCTCTACCGCTGGGATGAGGACAGGTGGGGGCAAAAGTAATAAAAAATAATAAATTATGCCATAAAACGCAAGTGAAAAAAAATGATACGCGAAAACGGTGCAAGTTTTTATCCATTATTTGACGGTCAGTGGTGTTTTGCGGCGGCCGGGTTTAGGGCCGGGTGGCGCCTGGGGGTGGAAGCGACGGACGGCACGGCTTACCCGGTCGCCGCAGGGTCATTACCGAGTATTGCTGCTCCCGGCACTCCGGCGCGTTCGTAAGTGAAGGGGGCGCTTTATGAGAAGCTGGTAGTTGAAAGGCAGACTGGATCAAGAGACGAAAAGTGGCTAGAATGGTAAAAACCTGTCCAAAAGTGACGCAGGGCTGTGAGAGAGCCAGGCCCGCCCCGGGGGGGACAAATGGATAAATGGTCCATGTCGAGGCGGAAAAACGAACAAATCAAGTCCTACTTTTAGAGGCGACACTAGGCCACATTTACCGTGGCATCTCCCGAGACGGAGCCCAGTCCCCGCCACGGACGGCGGCCGCCCCCACTAAACGAGCTACCACCAGTTTTCGGGGTTCTCTCACGGCATGGAGGGGGTTTGCTTCGATTCCGTATTTCTCAAAAAGGAGCCATGCTGCCCGGCATCGACATTCCATCTGACTACACCGATTGAGCAGAACAATTGCAATTTTCCGTGGCATACAACCACCCACCATTTCGCCGTCATGCCGGTTCACCATCTCATGGTCGGCACCTGGACGCCGCCCGGCGCCATCTTCACCTTTGCCTTTGACGACGAGGCGCTGACGCTGACACTCGTCAAGCGCACCGCCATTCCCTCGGACGAGCCCATTTCCTGGATGACCTTCAACGTGCGCCCCCCCCAGAATATCCTTGTCCCTTTCACATTGCCAACATGACCCACGCAGCACAACAAGACGGCCATTTACGGCGCCGCCATGAAGAAGTGGTCATCGTATGCCGTCGAGAATGCCACCACCATAACGCACCAAGTCTCCCAGCCCATGCTCCACGACCGTAAGCCCCTTCTCCCCCTTCCAAGCCCATAACCCAGCCGCTTTCTTTTTCTGACTAACAATCCGCCAAAGCCGCCGCCGCCTCCCCCGAGACCAACACGCGGGCCATCTTCCTCCTGGCCGCGCGGCAGCCCCCGTACGGGGTGTACTGCAACCCGTTCTACCAGCACGCGGGGCACGGCAGCGTCTTCAGCCCTTGCGCGTCCACGGGCGCGCTCACGTCCGGCGCGGTGCAGCACTACCCGTACCAGCCCGGCAGCGGCATCCACGGCATGGTGTTTGACGCCGAGGAGCGGCACCTGTACTCTGCCGACCTGTCCGCCAACAAGCTGTGGGTGCACCGGCGGCCGGACCCTCTGCGGGCCGAGGTCGAGCTCGTCGGCAGCGTCGACGCGCCGGATGCCCGGGACCACCCGCGGTGGGTCGCGCTGCACCCGTCCGGGGCGTACCTGTACGCGCTCATGGAAAAGGGCAACCGCGTGTGCGAGTACGCCGTCGACGCGGACTCGCGCATGCCCGCGTACACGGGGCGCGCGTTCCCGCTCATCCCCCCCGGCATCCCCGACCGCTGGACCATGTACCGCGCCGACGTGTGCGCCCTGTCCCACTCGGGCCGCTACCTGTTCGCCAGCGCCCGCTCCAACAGCCCCGAGCTGACGGGGTACGTCGCCGCGTTTCGGCTCGCAGAGGACGGCCGCGTCGAGAGGCAGATCCTGCTCAACCCGACGCCCACGAGCGGCGGGCACAGCAACGCCGTGGCGCCGTCCGACTGGAGCGACGAGTGGCTCGCCGTCACAGATGACGAGCAGGGGTGGCTCGAGATTTACCGCTGGCAGGACGAGTTTTTGGCGCGCGTGGCGAGGGTCCGCGTGACGGAGCCTGGGTTCGGCATGAATGCCATCTGGTACGACTAAAAGGTTCCGTGTTGCATATTAGACGAGGGCAAGGATTTGACAAATAGGGGGGGGGGGAGGCTCTTTGTGTAAAAGAATAGAATAGGTATGCCATTGGAACAAGACTTGGACAAGGCTACATAAATAACGAGTATGAAGGTAAAAAAACGCCAAGAGCAATAGACCAGTCTCTGGATAGGCTCGATATGACCTTATGGACACTGAGGTGCAACGTTAGTTGCACGACTGACACGACAAGCGCTGGTTGAGAGAAGCCACCCGCTGGAACAAACAATTGGCCCATATAAAAGAAGAAGAAAGGTCCTCCCACAATTTAGTCAACAAAGGGCCAGTGATTACTTCTTCTTGCCCTTTTTGCTCTTTTTACTTTTTGAGTTGCCACTGGCTCCGTACGGCTTTATCGTTTCCGCGCCATTGACATCCGAGTTCAATAGAGGCGTCGTCTCATCGTCGGGCTGCTGCTGCTGCTGCTGCTGCTGCTCCTCGTCCTGCTGCTCCTGCTCCTCCTCATCGTGTGCGGCGGCCACAGGCAACGCCTCAAAGTGGTGGTCAAGGTCCGCGTGCAGCGCCGAGACAATGCTGTACGACGAGGGGGAAGTATTGCCATTGATGGCGGCGGGAACGGCGGCGTCGGCCTTGAGGGTGGTGATGCGCTGTGGGGTGAGGCCCTGCTTGATCTTGAAGACGTTGCGGGTGTTGCTGCGCGGGTGGGCGGCGCGGTTGGCCGGACCGAGGCGCAGCTGCGACGATTTCATCTCCTTGAGCGACGTCTTGACGGCAATGGGTGCTTCGAGGCGGCCGTCGGGGCCGACAGAACCGCGTCGCTTCATGAGCACCGCAACCTTGGGGCTGTAGCGGCCGTCCCCGCCGTCGCTAAGGGCGCCGAGAGAGCCAACCTTGAGCGTGGACCCGTCACCGATTTCTTCGGATCCTATTAGAGTCGTGTCGTCTGAGGTCTTCTTCGCGGCGATGGCGGTGCCGGCGTGACCGGCGGCGGCGGCGACGTCGACGTGCCCACAGCGAGCGCGAGGAGCGGGTGTCAGGCGTCGGATGGCCTTGTGAACGTCAATGTAGACATCGGATTCGTCGACAATTTCCCTACAGGTAGTGTTAGCAGAGGACTGGATCAAGGTTGGTTTCGTCTAGGACCGCGTACTCTCCAATCAGCTCTTCAATGACATCCTCAAGCGTGACGACACCGATGGCGCCGTGATCAGAGCCAGGGTTCTCAGAGACCAGGACAAGATGCGATTTGCCCTCTTGGAAAAAGTTGATAATGTCGAGACAGCTTGTTTCGGGGCGAGTCTCGACAATGGCACCGAGAGGCACTTCGCGGACGGGAATTTTGTCCTCGGGGTCGTAGGTGATAAGGGTCTTGACGAGGAGCATGCCGACAAAGTCGGTGGGCTGACCAGAGCGGTAAATGGGAATACGCGAGTAGCCAGAAGAGAGAATATTGTCCATGGTCTTTTCGTCGAGAATGTGGTCCTCGGAGAGGGTGTAGACGTCCTCCATGGGGGTCATGACCTCGGAGACGGGCTTGTCCTTGAGGTCGAGGACGGCAGTGATGATGGTGACCTCGTCCTGGTTGAGGCGCTCCGAGAGGTCGCCGAGTGACTTGTGCAGGGTGACGAGGGTCTTGAGGCCGCTCTTCTTGTAGACGGTGCCGTGGTGCTCGCCGAGGATCCAGTCGAGCAGCTTGGCCGTGGGCCAGGCGACGGGGCTGAGAAAGTACATGAGGGCGATGACGGGTTTCGACATGTAGCCGCCGATGGGCAGGCCGTAGCGGACGCAGATAGATTGAGGAACGATTTCGCCAAAGATGACTAGGACGCGACGATTTAGCTAGCTCCTACGTTGGAGCCAAGGGCGGGGAGTGTTACCAATGAGCACAGTGCTACCGACGACGGCGGCAACACCACCACCGAGCGTACGATCGAGGACAACGGGGAGGGATTCGTTGACAATGACGTTGGCGAGGAGCAGGGTGACGAGGACCCAATGCTTGCCCTTGTGGAGGAGAGCGAGGACGCGCTTGGCATTCTTATGTTGGGGTTCTTCGGGATCGCCAGAGAGCACCTGGAGATAGATGCTGTCTTGGCCCATTAAACTGTTGAGGATGATGGTTAGTTGGAGTGCACTGGATCAGCAGTGACGTGAAATCGGGGGTTAGCGTACGCAATTGTTAGACCAGCAAAGGCACCGCCGAGAAGGACGAGGGCCATGGAGGCGACGCAGAGCACCCAGAGAGGCGTACCGGCAGCCTCGTCTTCACCATGATGCGGCGACTTCTGCAAAGGCGCGGCGGCCACGGACGAGAGGCCCAGACCGATGACCCGCGCCATGCCGAGGACGGCAGGGCGCAGGCTCGCGATACCACCATGTGAAGCTGTACTGCGCATGATTGACGACCAAGAGAGCAATCAAAATATCGCAGAGGTGCTGAAGAGAGGCGGGGGAGGTGAAAGAGATTGGTAGCGGGCAAAGGATGCTGCCTTTGTCGAGTGTGGCGAAGGCGCAAAAAAGTCGTGGCCGGGGGGGTGTTTGGTTGCTGTGGTTGGTGGCTGCGGCGCTGCCCAGGATAACCAAGGACACCAAGGACGCCTCGAGAATGACGTGCCTTGGCAACGAACAGAGGTTAGGTCTAGGTAGTATTCGAGCACCGGCACGTGTCGTGATGGAAGGCGACTGTATGGGTTAGTGTAGAGATGAATGAAGAGATGTGGTGAAAATGTCGATTTTTAATTTTTAATTTTTTCACATCAGTTGGTGACCCCAGCCAAGGCGAAGAGTGAGTTTGTGGGCGTCCAGTCGTGCAGCTCGGGACAAGCGGGCCGCAAAGGAAAAAAGAAAGAATGGGCCGGAAGCGTAGCGAGTACAGACGGCAAGTGAGCGGCATGAGGCTCTAGTTAAATTGTACAAATTATTAGGTTCCCACGCCAAGCAACAGGCGGAGGGAAACCAGGACAAGAAAATGCACTGGATTGGCTGTTGCAAGTGTCGCTAGCAGCAACTAACACGGATACAGTGAGGCGCGAGTCCAGAACTCTGTCGTCATGCCTGCTGCAGCGCCACGGAGCATGCTGATGGGCCCGATTACCGGATGCAAGGTAGGTCGCCCCGCACCAGGCCGGCTAACTAACTATTGCAGTACGCAGATGCTCGGCGTATTTATTCCTATCATGACTATTCATTCATTAGTATTATTGTCGCTTGCAGCTGGTGGCTTATCGTGTTCGTGGAGGGACATGGCTGCTGCTGTAGAATGGGCAGGACATCCGGGTTGGCTATAAGACGAAGCTGCTAATAACGGCGAGCAGGGAGCAGGAGAAATACCGCCCCGCTTACTGGAGGCACTACCACCTACCTGTACAAATTACTGACTGGGTGTCTGCTATCAGTACCTATGCTCGACAGTCGCCGCGAAAGAGAGCCAGAATAAAGGCGTATACTGGTTGGAATAAACAATTATGCCATGTTTCGAGATGTCTGGGCTAGTTGAAAAAGGTACGGCGTACCTAGTGGTCGACGCTTCTGCAAGATGCTGGCTGGGGTATCTCGTGCTCATCGTGTACATACACCCACTGTATTACAGGGTCCAAATCTTGTACCCACCAATTTCACGCAGCCAACATGCCACCGCCTGCAATGGAAGGAAACGCCCCAGGCTAACTATCAAACGGATCAAACGGATCAAACGGACATGATCAGCAGCAATAACATGTTTCTTGCATGGTCATTTGACCACCACGCCTCGCTGCTCCGAGTTCCTGTCGGAGAACTCGATCATCTTGCACCACCTGACCACCGTACCGACTGACATCGAAAGAGGCGTCGAAAGGCATCTGCAACCACGTATTACTGCATCACGCATCAGAGCTGAGACTGTTGCACAAACACTACACACATATGCACGGATACAATCTCCCCGTTCATATCTTGTACTACGTATGTACGCTAACCATGAACTACGCAACCCCGCTTCAACTTGCTCGTGTGCTTCTTTACATAGGTAATTAGTTAGTCTATACCCTGACGATCCTATCTGGCCCCACCCGCAGTCAGTCATCTTCCTGAGAGCCAATGGCAGAATACGACCATTATCATCACGCATCAGCCTCAACCTCTCGTCATTTTCACACGGCCCTCGATTGGACATTGTTCGAATCCCCTCACGCGACCCCATCCCGAAATCGGCCTGGTTCTACGGATCTGTACATCCACAAGTCTCCGTACCTGAATCCACTCGTCATGAAATAAACGTCTCCCGGCTTTAAAGTTGGGGCTTGCTGCTTGGCGTCATCCAGAACTCCCAGAACCCTTCTTTTCGACTTTTTGCGCCTCGGAGGAACCCGGGGGGGAGGGGAGCGCGACACTGTCACTTCCCCCCGCCCTTCCTCTCAGCCTCGGTCGTTCTATTCGTCGTCGACTGCTCGCTGCATGCTGGCCTGCAATGCAGCGACGGCGTGCACCCTGCACGGTGAGCTTAGTTCAGCTGGCCTCGAGCCAGCCACCGTTCGTTTGGAGGATGCTTCCTTCGTGACGCAGTGTACAAATTTTTGCATGGCGAATGCCGAGCTCGCTTACCCATCTGCTGAGATTGTTCCTTGAGAAAAAAAAAGAAAAAGAAAAAGAGTACAAACGAAATCCCTGTCCCTGTAGGTAGTCTTGGTGCAGACTTGCTACCGGTCTCTGTAGTAGGAAGTCTACCTGGCCTCTCGGCTGCTGCCGAGCGCCAAGCTCCATGATCGATTGACCTTCACCACTCATGGCAAGGGACTCATTGATGCTGACCGTCTGATGCCTTTTACAATGAGTAAACCGAGTCGCTTTTTGCCCTGTTTCAAGACACCACGACAATGGCTGGTAAATGTTGCGAGGAAGGATGCGAAACCTGCACCAGGAGCGTTGAGACGGCGGGAAATGAATCCAATCCTGGATAACCCAGAAACCACTCATCTGTGAACTTGGAAGTGTAAATGGAATTCCAGTAAGTGGTGTACCTCTGCCGCGAGGTCGACAAGGTGTGACCTTGTGCAACGCAGTACACTCACCGCAGTGGTGAAGTATACACCACAACCAGAGCCAACAACACCACGCAGTAGAGCCAGTCAACTCCGTGCACTGACTTGCGAGAGCTGAGGTACCATAGACTAAGCTGCTCCGAAAAATTAAGTATGAGCTAGCTGTGTAAAATTTACAACGTCAAGCTCTGATGGCATACTACCGATACGCTCACTCTGCCTATCAAACAAGGAACCTTGAAGTTTTGCTGACTTTCAGATATGTCAATTGATTGTAGATAAAATAGCAGTATAAAAAGTGATGATCAAGATATCATCACTAGCCACAAAGGCTCTGAATGAAAAGGGAAGTTGCCTGGGCCAATCAGCGGCCACAGGACCTCAATCTCGCGGCTCTGCCTCGATGATCGAATAACGCATAGCGCTGCGCTTAGGGTCTTCAATAACCATCTCCTCACGCGCCATCATCTCCTTTCCGGACTCCTCACGCCTCTTCATCTCCTTCTCGAGCTTCTCGACTAGGGCTTTGAGCTCGTCCATCCCTGCTTCTCCGACAAATGCGTCACCCTTGAAGGACGCATGGTACAGACAGAGAGCATCTTCCGCATAAGTCGAAAAATCGAACCCTTCGTAATTGTTCTCAAGAGTGGACATGGTGGTGTCGAGCGCCGCGACTCGTTTGCTCGCAGGTATACCCGTGTTTTTAGCCTGCTTGAGATTTTTGTCGACCAGCTGAGTATTGGTCTGTGCCTCGAAGATCTGCTCTTCAGTCCGGGATCCGGTCGCGTTGAACATGTCGATGGCTTAGTGTTCTTGGTTTTTTTGGGTGGATGTATGTGTTTTGGGTATGGGCGAGAATTGGAGTGTGTGTGTGTGTTGGTGTTTTGGTGCTGGATGAGAGACTATTCCTGGGGAGATGAACTTCTTTAAGTACTTTACGCTGTCTGTATTCATGTACTTCAGTCACTCTCAGTGTAACAATGTGCCACGTATAGTTTCTTAGACACGGATCCGACATATGATAGACAAGGCCGTCAGCCGAATCTAGAACAGAGCACTGACCTGTGACGAGTGACCTATAGAGTACCTTTTGCAGGGTCACCATGACACAGGAATCTAGTGCAACAGAAGAATAACGGAAAGGGTGTGCTGAAGTGGTGATCATGTCAGAGTGGAAGGCCCGGTACGACTCTCGTAGATCCCTCCGCAGGCAGCAATCATGGCCGCCTGGATGCGAGGAGCCACATAATGGAACTTGATACTGACTTGCCTTGGCAACTGCAGAAGAAGCTATACCTTAATTTAGACACCGCCCCATTGTCTTACTCTCGGTGAATATATGCATAGTGTTTGGGGGCTGAGAAGAGCAGCCGTCTGCCACGACCGTGTTACAGCAGCTGCCAGCATTTCGCGCGCATGGGCCAAAACTCGTGTTACATGGATTATCACAGTTGTAGCAGATACCCGTATCTGCATTGTGATTCAATCCAGGCAGCCAGGTCATCGCCACAGCGGCAAGGATATAGACAAGACAGCGGTCGACCAATAGGCAACCTATTCGCCACAGGTATCACACCAGTGACGTCGTTTCTAGGACCAAACTTCCGATCAATTTTATTGTTTGAACAACCTCAAAAATAAACAAGAATAAATACACCTGCAACCTAAGCCCGCATGTCAGCATGTCTGCCTACCCGTCGTGCAGCAACTTCAACATGCCGGTCGCGGCGTGCCTGCCCAACAGCTCCAGCGTTCACATCCCCAACATGTCCAGCAGGCTGACGTCGAACGCAAACGTGGCCTCCACCATTTGCGCATCTCGATGCCCGCGAGCGAGCCCATGGTAATATACGACAGGCCCAGCTTCGTCCGGAAGCTGTCTATCGGCGTGCCCAGCATGGCGAGTACCTTGGTGTCACTCTCCCGCGCCAGGAACTGCGCCGCCTCGGGTGTCACCAGCATGGCCTCGTCAGACCGTGCGGTCGAGAGAAACACTCTGAAGCCATCGTTGCGCGCGCGCCCCCGTCTGCGTCCTTGCGATGGTTGCGGTACACAGCCATGCGCACATCCCGGCCACAGAGCGCGCGGCTGCCCGGCGACGACAGCGGCCCAGACCGATGGCAAAGACGGACAAATGGACAGCAGCGTCGCAGCGTCGCAGCGCCCAGACCGATGAAAAAGACGGACGAATCGACAGCGGCGCGGTAGCCGTCGTATACGTGGCTTGCCTTGGGGGGCGGCGTCTTGATAGTCAGCGACAGGGCGTCGAGGACGTCGGACGCCCGTACCATGACAAGATCTATGCTCTGGACACCGCGTTGCGCGCCACGACTCAGGCATTTTCACCGACGCCGATGCCGATGGTGCTGGCCGCGAGCCCGACGCCGTTTCGGTACCTCGCAAAGACGTCGAGGAAGCTATTGGCGGCCGCGTCGTTGGCCTGCCCGGGAATGACCACGACGGCGACGATGGAGCACCCCAATCCGCCAAAGTCTCCCTACCAGCAAGTGCGAGTCCTGACTGTCTAGCTCAAGCAGTCCCTCGCGCTGCATGGCATTTCTGGGTTCGCAGCCAGCAGTGTCAAATCGCGTTCCTGCTCGGAGCGGACTATAGCGACTTGGCCATCGTATTCGACGACGTCTTGGATGATTCTTTCACATCCTTTCCACCACGACTTCAATATCCATCACCTTTTGGTTTTCTAGCGGCTGCCAACGCCCAGCTGTGAAGAACTGGGCTGTGGTTGTTAGGGAGGCCTAAGGCACACATTTGGCATTGACCACTTTCACCGCAGGTGGCAGAATCAGTTGCACATCAAGGGTCAACATCTCAGTTCTCCGGACACTTTGCAAATACCAAATACCACACTTACTTGCACCGAAAATCTAGTTCTCCCAACGTTTCCCGTTTTCTCTTTCGATGAGGCTACCGCTCCTGCTTCCTACAACCCGCAAACGCCGTCAATATGCTCTCGCAAACAGTGAAGCGCCTAGGCTAGGCTATCATGTCAAAGTCTCAGCCTGACTTCATCCTGGAGTTCACGCCGAACGGTTATAAAGATGAACATGTTGTGGCGTCTAGAGATGGCCTCATGGTATCTCGGAAATACTCCATCCTGAGTATCGACCACTGTCGATTTACATGGCCCGTAACGATCACCTTACACACCAAGTAGCCCGCCAGCATCAAGAAACTGCAAAGGAGAGAAACATTCAGGTATATTTACCGCCCTATTCAGTTCGACCGCGTGTAATTCTTGCGCGACACCGTGACCGAAGTTCTCATCTGACCAAGGTATGGCTATGACGGCGAGCTTTCATGTCATTGCCGGCGTTGGTATAGGTTCCGTCTTCACAGTTCCGCCAACTCCCGGCAGGCCAGCCCAGAGAAGACGGAAGACAATGTGTAGGCATGTTCGTGGTATTTCGACTCTTTGATGCGCTGATCGGTCTTGGTATTGCATCGACGGCGTTCAACAGTAAATTTGGACAAGAGCTTGCATTTCTCGAAAGTGTCGTATCCGACTTTCCGCGATTAGACCCCAAGAGGCACTGGCCTACGTTCTGAGCTTGAAAGATAGCAGCTTGCAACATGAAACTGTAGTTGTGATCCAAGGAGCGTAGGTGGAGTCTTTCGAGTAGTGTTTTATATTCCAGCTGCATTTGGTGCGGTGGGCGCCAAACTATCGAGTCGGAGGAAAAGGGCAAGTAGGCGTTTGATGGTTGAACTGGAGCTCGAAGGGCAAATAATGTATATATATGTCCACAGCAATGCGGCTACTTTGGCAACGGATCTGGCTCAAGGGGACATTTTGCTGATTGGAGTCAGTTTCAAGAAGAAGCAATATACCAGCAAGTCCCACGTTGGCAGCATCAACGACCTACCTGGTCTTCTGAACGACCCGCCAGGCTACCTTGGCCCGTCCACACCGGCAAACTTTTTGATATTCTCGCTAATCTGCGCAGCCATCCTCGCGGCCTCGCCTGCCTCCTCTGGGCGCTCCATGCGCATAAGAACCTCGGCCCTGCGCCTCAGCAGGAGCATCTCCCAGAGACGCACGTCGGGCGACTGCCGGACCGCGGCCAGGCCCTCGTCGATGAGCGCCAGCGCCTGCTCGAGCGGACCGGTCTTCCACGCAGCCTCAATCTTTTCCATCTGCTTCTCGACCCATGCCGTGCTGCTCGGGCGGCCCGTCTGGTCGTTGTCGTCTGCGGCTCGGTCTGACATGTTGGGCGCGCTCTTTTCGGTGTGTGTCTTCTTGGCAATACTCGGCCTGTTTCTTGGTGGACGATGTGTGTTAAGTAAAAAAAAAAAAAGCTTGAAAAATTCTGCGGCTACACAAGGCCACGACGTGGGCACGGCGCGCGCGTCTTGTGCGGCCTGGGGGGGTGAGTGAGACTTTGCTTGTTGCCGCCGCTGTGGTATTGACCTGCTGGCAATACCATCTCACAGAGGCGTGGACGAGACCTAGAGTAAACTGTTTTGAGTAAGCGCATTCTTTGGGTGATGCCGTCTCAGGGTTTTGACCACAGGTACTGCACTTTGCTGTGTCGCTGGGAGCGGTGTACGACAACTCTCTCTTTGTCTTCTTGTCCAGTTGCACGTTGAGGGCGAGAACTTGGAACATCCTAGACGCTCAACTAGCAGTGGTTGCTGAGAAGAGTGACGTAGGGAGCCATAGGCAGAAGAAAGTCGGCGCCTTGTATCACAAGAAATAGACTTGGGCCATGGCGTTTCCGAAGCCTACATGGTTTGTTTCTGTACACGCTTGGAACCTCCATCTTGCGGGTAGCAAGTTCTTGCATCCCTGACCCCTTCTTCAGGTGAAGCTTTCCTCCACATTTTACTCTACCTTGGGTTTTTTGCAGTTTGAGAAAGACTGAATATAGCAACGCCAGTGAGAGGGATAGTTCGAGGAGCCTAGCAGGTTTGAGCTTTTGTAGCCGCCGTCCCCCGAGGACACATAAGCGGTATTCCTGTATGACTTATCGGAACCCGCCAACAGGCAGTACTTCGCCCAGCTCGCATGGCTGTTTCACCCGAACAGTGACAGACTCCATTTTAGGCACCCAATACTTGGTTGCCACTCTTTGTTCTGGCATCTTTGGGCGATACCCTCCCTGTTTTGCACATCACCTTTGCACATCACCTTTGCACATCACCTTTGCACATCGCCTTTGCACACACACGGTGACACAGAAGTGAAAAGACCGAGTTCAACAACTATTAAAGAACTGCCTTTCTCCTCTCCAGAATTCTCAACGTGATCCTCGCAAACCTGCACAATCACCAAAACCACTCCAAAGAACCACAACAGACAGCCGCCGCAATGGATGAACCACAACAGACAGCCGCCGCAATGGATGAACCACAACAGACACCAGCCGCAATGGATGAACCACAACAGACACCAGCCGCAATGGATGACAGGTAATGTCCACTCACTGTTGCGCGGAATGAAAGGCAACCTGCACTGAGGCGAATCCTAAACTATTTCAGAGCCATAAGAGCAAGAATTGCAGAGATATTAGAACAGAGTGACGCGGCTGCAGCGCGCTGGAGGGAGGAGGTAAGGGCACACGAGCGAGCAGAGCGTCGAATGAAACTATATCGGGGTGGGAAAAGGAGGTTCTTGTCTGTTGTAAAGCTCTGGTGGAAAAGGCACATTTATCCTCGCCAACAGGTAGAAGCCAGCGGTCATTCGAGCGAGGCAGTTGATAGCCGCCCGTCTTAGAGAAACGGGGAAAGATACTTTGGCCAGTTTAACTCAGTGAGCTGTGGTTTTTGGACACGTGTGTCATTTGGGTGATCTTGTTTGTGCTATTGATCGGACCAGTGGGAACAAGACAAGTTTGCATTTCGCTCTCGTGAATCGAGACCATACTAGTGCTGAAGAAACTCGTCGAGAATCTACGTGATGGGGCATTTCACGTAATGAAGCGACATGTGGGGGCTCTCTATATCGCCGAGGTGAATTTACATCAAGTACAAAGGATTCATTCAAGAGCTTTACTATTGAAAGTATGCGGTCGCTACAAAGTAACCACGCTCACATCCAACACGCCCTCGGCCTGCTTCAAGTCGTCCATGACCTTCTTGTCCACGTTGCCGGCGATGCCGAGGATCATGAGGGCCTCGTCGCCCGGCTGCTGCGGGTGCGTGCCGGCGGTATCGGCCAGGGAGTCCTGGGAGCGGCTCGGCTGCAGGCCGTCGTCGGTGGGCGGGGTCCAGTCGCCGCGAAACTCGGCGCCGAGGGCGGCGACCTGCATGAAGCGGATATTGATGCCGTGGGAGCCGAGGACGGTGCCGACGCCGCCAATCTTGCCGGGCTCGTCGTAGTTGTGCAGGATGATGAGGGTGCCCTCGGGGCTAAAGGTGGCGTTGAAGCGGCCGAGGCGCGAGATGTAGAGGCGCTTGTTGGACGAGGCGTAGCCCTCGATGACCTGGGCGCGGCGGCCCTTGGCGCCGCCGCCGTCCGGGTAGGAGCGCAGCGAGACGAGGTTGACGTAGGTCTGGTCGTTGCGCGAGTCGTGGGCGTGCGTCTCGCTGACGGTGATGCCCTTTTCCTTGGCAATCTGGGTGGCGTTGACAATGTTGACGTTGGAGTCGCTAAAGGACGCGACCAGACCCTTGACGAGCGCGGCCAGCAGCGGCTTCGTATTGGGCAGCCCGGCCAGCTCGCCGTGGTAGACGAGCTCAAAGGTGCGCCCGCCGACGCGCGTGCTGTTGCTGCCGGCAAAGTGCTGCGAGTACAGCCGGCCCATCTTCTCGACCAGCGACACCGACGGCTGCAGCTTGCGGTACTGCTCCGGCAGGATGATGGGCGCGTTGACGGCGCTCGTCGGCAGCCCGCCGCGCAGAATCTCCCGCGTCTGCGTGCACACGTCCATGGACACGTTCTCCTGCGCCTCGACCGTCGACGCGCCCAGGTGCGGCGTCGCGACCACCTTGGGGTGCCGGGTGAGGCGCGCCGCGACCGAGTCGGCGGCGGGCGGCTCCGTGGTGAAGACGTCGAGGCCGGCGCCGGCGATGCAGCCGTCGTCGAGGGCGCGCAGCAGCGCGGCCTCGTTGTAGACGCCGCCGCGGGCGACGTTGAGGACGCGCGCGGTGCTCTTCATCATCTTCAGCTCGGCCTCGCCAATCAGGTCCAGCGTCGTGGCCAGCAGCGGGGTGTGGATGGTCAGGAAGTCGAGCACGGGCAGCATGTCGTGCAGGGCCGGGTAGAGCTCGACGCCGGCCTGCTTGGCCATGTCCGGGTTCGCGTAGGGGTCGACGGCGACGACGGCCATGCCGAGGCCCTTGGCCATGCGGGCGACGTGCAGGCCGACCTTGCCGAGGCCGACGATGCCGAGCGTCTTGCGGCCGACCTCGACGCCGACGAGCTGGGCGCGCTCCCAGCGGCCGTCCTTGACGCCGCGGTCGGCGCGGCCAATGTGCCGGGCCGTCGCCAGCAGCAGCGCGACCGTGTGCTCGGCGGCGGCGACGATGTTGCCGGCCGGCGAGTTGACGACGAGCACGCCGCGGGCGGTGGCGGCGGGCACGTCAATGTTGTCGACGCCGACGCCGGCGCGCGCCACGACCTTGAGCTGGGATCCCGCGCGCAGCACCTCGGCCGTCACCTTGGTCTCGGAGCGCACGAGCAGGCCCTGGTAGTCGGGGATGATGCGCACGAGCTCCTCGGCGCTGACGTTTTGCCGGACGTCGACGTCAAAGTGGGGGGTCAGCAGGGCGAGGCCGTCGGGGGACAGCTTTTCGGGGACGAGGATGCGGGGCCGAGAGGAGCCCGCCGAGGGGGGGCGGCGGCGACGGCCTCGGCAGGTGCGGGGTCGACGGCGATGGAGGTCATCGGAGCGGCGGCAGGGGGGCTATGAAGCATAAAAGAAACCTGAACAAGACGATGACTGGACTCTATCTCGCGTCGCGTGCAGAAAAAAAAATAGCAAGAAAAAAACAAGGGTCGTCACAAGGCGGGAAAAAGAAAGTTTGGAGCGGTTTGTTTTGGCAGAAGAGGGGGAGGGGGAGGGGGATGCGGCCGGTCTTTAAGACAATAAATCGACGCGGCCGAATTCATCCACGATGGCGCGCATCACACATCACACACCTACCACACCTTGATGGGCGGCAGCTAGGGATTTTCGCGGGTGAATCACATCCACATATGCGATACAATGGAGAATGTCACGGCGAGAGACAATGGCACCATCCAGACGGCTTTGTCTTGAAGACCCCGAGATGGGCGCTAAAAGCTACCAGCTGGACAGGTCAGCAAGACCATCGCCGAGCCATCCTTTTCCCTCGCTTCTTACCCCATCTCATCGTCATACTGCATTTCGGCAGAAAAATCTCCCAATTTTCTGCCTGGCACGTAACAGTGGCTGCTTTTCATTGTCTCAATAAATTGGCCCTTTTGCCCCAGCCGGCATGACATCTGGGGCAAATCACAGCCCTGCATTCTCGCCACCGGCGCAGGCTATCATCAGCCTTGGCAAAACGCGCAGGCGGCGGCGGCGGCCCAAGCAGAGAGAGTGAGGCTGCGTAGGTATTTTGCGACAGGAAACTCGAGGCCAGTGGAAGGGAAAATGCGCTACCTCGAGACAAGTTCCCTCTAAACAACACTCATCGATATAACCTGCTTGTCAAAGAACCAAATCTCCCAGACAAGGGGTGCCTTGCGAGCCACATCGGGCCCTTGGCAAGTTTATATCTGCAGACTTGTTCGCTTGGCCCCGCGCCACCTGACTATTCGAAAAGGCCGTTCGGATGTAACGAGAGGCTCATGCATGCAGCTGCCGTTGTTCCTCTCCGCATGAAGAAATCCCATCCGACACCAGCGTCTCTGCTGTACATGCACCAAGGCAGATGCAGACTGACAAAGTAATGCAACATGGACCAAGGAAAATTACTCTACCCAGATGCGACTGACGCCATTCTCTCGACCCCGTGCAGCAACACTGCTTTGCTGCTCTATGCTGCCAGACCCCAGATGAGGCGGCGTGTTAGTTAGCGCCCAGGCTGCCAGAAATGAGCGCAATCCGCCTCCATTATTCTCAAGCCTTTTGCTAGCCAACAATTTCCCTCCAGATTCCATTTATCATCTGACGTAGAACAGATCTAGTTCCTTCTTGCTTACGCCGCCCATCGGCCCTGCAAGCTTCGGCACTTGAACCCATCGCAAACCACCTTGCTGGCCACCTCGCCTCCACATCGCGCGGCGATTCTGCCCAGTGGCGCTGGCAAGCATACCAACAAGCTTACTCGTAGACACGAAATCAGATCAGAAGAGGGTGTGTGCAACTGCCGTGACAAGCTAGATCCGTGTACCTGCCAAGGAGAATCACGTTTTTTGTTTTTCATTACATACTAGCTACAGAGTCAATCTGGCCGAGCTTCCTGTCTAGGCCTCATTCAACCGTGTACTTGGATCCATACTTGTCGTTCTGGACCACCTCGATCCAGTAACCATCAGGGTCGAGGAGGAAAGCAATGTTCTTCATGCGGCCTTCCGTCAGCCTCTTCTTCCAGTTACATCCCTTTTCTTCAAACCGCTGGCAGGCAGCGCCGAGGTCGTCGACCGTGATGCCTTGATCATTTTGTGTCAGCGTCTCATCTTCATTATTTCCACAATCCTCAGCTAAACATACAGATGTGGCCAAAGCCCTGCGGCTGGTCGTTGCCGTTGTGGTACTTGAAAGACTCGTCCTTTTCGGTGCCGTAGTTCCACGTGAGCTCGAGCAGACCCTCGCGGTGGCTCGTCTTCTCGTCGGTCGGCAGGCCCTGGTCGGCGGGATAGGCGAGGAAGTACAGGTTAAAACCAGCAGCCTGCGCCTCGTGCTTGCGGATCAACGACATGCCGAGAATCTCTTGGTAGAACTTGAGCGACTTTTCAATGTCCTTGACGCGAAGCATGGTATGGTTCTGCAAGAAAAAAAAATACATTTAGTCGTCTTTGGCCTCTGATACATTCTACACCGTACTTACCATGCGATAGGTGCCGGGGTCAGTCTCGGTGATTTTCTCCGTCTCCTCGACGGGCTTCTGGCCGATAATCTCGATCCAGTAACCGTCCGGATCCAGAGCAAACGCAATGTGCTTCATGCGACCGTCGCTGAGCTTCTTCTGAAACTTGTACCCGGCATCCTCGATGCGCTTGCAGGCCGCCTGTAGGTTGTCAACGCTGATGCAGGTGTGGCCGAATCCGCGGTGCGGCTCCGTGTTACCGTTGACGACCTTGAAGTCGGGGTCGTTTTCGGTGCCGTAGTTGTGCGTGAGCTCGATGATGCCCTCGCGGTTCATAAACGAGTTGCCGTGGGACACTGCTTTGGCGCCGTCGTACGCGAGAAAGTACAGATCGAACTTGGCTTCGGGTTGCTGGATCTTCTTGACAACGCTCATCCCGAGAAACTCGTAGAATTTCACTACCAAGGGTTAGGTTTTGCTAACTGCCAAGATGGCGGCAACTTCGGGACGACCTACCCGACTCCTTGGGGTCCTTGACCCGAATCCTGACGGCGTGTCAGTACTGCTACCTCAAGAACAATACGTCTATGACCTACATGGAGTGGTTAAACTTGTATTTGTTGGTATCCGTGGTGGTCGCCATTGTTGCGAATCGCTGTAAGGTAGCTAACAAACAGGTGGCGGGGTCAATATGAGGTGTCGTTTGTGGATTCCAAGTGAGGTTGGGCACACGAACCTGGTCCAGGTAACTTGGTGAGGGGATTGGCAGAGCTTGACAGTGTGTTTTGAACAAGTCGTAGTCGCTGAACTGCTCTTGAAGCGCTCATGAGGTGATGAGTTTTGCTGCTTTGTAATGTCGACGTAGCTGGTGATGTCAACCCCCGCAGTAATAGCTCGAGGAGCCCCTCCTCGAGCGGCAGCAGCTCCGGAGCGTGGAGGCCGGAACGGGCATTAAAGCGAGCCTGCTACCGAACTATTCCCAATAAATGACCGCCAGTAATACGCCGAGCATAGCCCAAAAGTGAACTAGGTATAGTGTAAAGGCAATAAGCCGACGACGAGTACCGACCTCTTGTCGTTACCAAGCACTGAAGCCACTGAGCGACCCCACCTTGGCCCCAACTTCTTAGTGATGGTGTCGAGGGCCACCTTTTTGACAGCGGCAAGTGACTTTTCGCTGTGATGCTCTCTCTTCCGCGTAATCTCTGCAGAGGAGATAATTCTTTTACACAACATGAAGAAGCTAGATTCCGCCCGTCTTTGAGTATTTCAGGCTCCGGAAAGCATACTTCCCAATCATAAATTTTGCTAGGTACCTATCCGCAGGTACCTACCTAAGTACCTGGTAGTTAGTACTACATTACAGTGGGCGTACGTTTGACCAAGTCTTCGTCATGGCGCTATAGCGGTTCCGGTAGTGGACTAGTTTAGTGGGTGGTCGTGCTGTTGCAGCACTTAAGCATCCTTCAGGCTACCTGGGTGATCAGAGCCTCACTGCGTCTTATTGTTTGCGTCGCCGCATTGTTGATCTTGTCGCTTCATCCATCTCTGTACTCTTAACCAACCTATACCTCGCGCTCAACAGCGACCTCTCCTCGGTATCCTCATGGCACGCTCTACCCCGTTCTTCGAGTGAGGGCAACGGATTGCTTGCCCATTGTCCGTCCCCTTGCCCGCACAAAGCTCAATACGCCTGAGCTGCTGCTCAAAAGAGGCGCAACCACCCTCTCGATGTTCCCATGCCTTCACGCCCCTCGTGTATCCTGCCACAAGAATTGCAACCCCCCAAACGTCCCGCCAGCCGTCGACGCGTTTTGAGACCCCAAGGCACCGAGCTACCTCCGCTAGGGCCGCTGCCCGGCCATGGACACCGACCCAGGGCCGCACGAGGCAGTAGCTGGCGCCGCCGTGCCTTCCAAGGTCCAGCGACAGCAGCATCTGCTCGGCCGCCCTGCATCCCTGACCAGGTCAAGATCCCTCTCCGACGGCGGAGGAACCACGCCCAAGCTCTCCCCGGCGCCGCACATTATCGCATCCGCCCGCCGCACCTCCAAGGACGACCACGACATTGATACACTTTCTTCCAGCTCGGGCGCTACCGCCCCCGCGTCCGCCGCCACGCTGGCCGGCTTTCCCTCGACGCCGAAGCGGTCAGAGGTTCGTGGCATGTCGTCTCGGGACAAGCAGCACCAGCAGCAGCAGCAACAACAGCAACTACAACAGCCGCCGCCTCTGCCACGAACCTCTCGCGACTTTACACCTCCTCCTGGTGCGACCGCAGGTACTAGCGCGTATGGCAAGCTGGCGCCGCTGTCCCCTAAGGTCGACCACGCCCACATCTACGCATCCCCGACCAACATCCTCCCCCGACGGTCACGCGGCCTCGACTTTTCCCGCGCTGCCACGAGCCTACACCACTCCACCCTCGCCGAGTCCTCGCCCGAGTCCTCGCCCACCGTGGGCAGCCGCGGCATGAATATCCCAGCCCGGCGCCGCGAATTCGGCCCCGGCGCCGCCGAGCAGCACAGCCTCCAGGCATCGGCGTCTCTTTGGCCTGCCGCCATCGGCCACCAGGAGCGAATGGTAATCAGCAGCTCGCTGGGTAGTACCCAGGCGGTCGGCTCCGACTCGTCGAGCTCCTCCGAAGACGACGACCTGATGGACGAGGACACGGATGAGGCGTATGTCACCACACCGCAGGTGTCAAGGATGGGTGCCGGTGGTGGAGGGCCCAGACCGTTTGGGTCGCCGGCGATGAATATCCTCACCACCTTTCACAACCGTCCGCGCCCGCGCAAGCAGCCCAAGAGAAAGGTCCGCGGCCCGCTGGGTCTGGGCTTCAACATGAACGCGCCGCGCTCGCCCCCGAGCAATTCGGCGCGCGCCCGCCGCGAGAGCATCAGCTGGCAGGCAAACCAGTTGCAAATTTCTAGCGGCGATGGCGAAGACAGCGCGAAGTCGCTCAGCGATGTCGATGGCCCGTCCAGTGAGGCTCAGCCCAACGTAACGCGCAGAGCAGTCACCCGTCGCGGAAATCTGTTGGTAAGACAGAAATAACATGCGTCGCTCTTTGGGTATCTTTGCTGACCCCGACTCTAGCCGAAAACCAAGACATTTGCGCGAATTCGGGCTGCTCTGCTCGAAGAAGGCGCCCCAGCGGAAGCGGAGTTCCGTCGTGAAGCCGAAGTTGTCAAGCAGGTTCGCGAGAGCGATGTCGATCACGACCCACGGCCGCCCACCAACGTATTTGACCTATCGCAGGCCGTCAGCGCACTGTCGTCGCCCAACATGGTCAACCAGGATACCATTGATGAGCCCGAGGAGGACCTAATGCGAGACTTGTCCACCGGCGTGGCCAGCAGTTTCAAGCAACAAATGCTAAAAAGCAAGTCCAAGTCATTCTGGGACACGTATTCCGAATGCAGCAGCACCGGAGGCGGCGGGCGCGCATCTCCCCCGCCGCAAACATTCATGCCTCGAGAGTCGTCGTCGGGCATGAGTGAGGATGCCGCCATGGACTCACCCTCCTTTGCCATGTTTCAAAACTACCAGGTTCGTTTTCTCGCCACAAGAATAACAGTACTAGGCCGCAGCGTCACTAACAAACGACCAGCAGCAGTTGCAAGCTACCGCCATTGGCCCTCAGCCCCCTTCTGCCGCCGAGATTACTCGCCGCGTCAACAACAAGCGCCGGCGCGACGACGACCTCGACCCCGTGAGCTTCAAGCGCCGGGCCGTCAGCCCCGGCATGAGTGTGCATAACTCGCCAGTCGTGCAGAGCCCCTTGCAGCGGGACAATGTCCAATGGGGCTCACGCCCGGGCAGCACGGGCGGCGACAGGGCTGGCAGCAGTGCACAGAGCGACTCCGGCAGCATGGGCAGCCGTAATAAGGGCCGGGTAGGCTTCCAGGGCATGGTGGACGCTAACGATGCCATTATGCGCATGAGCATTGAGTAATAAGCATGTTTTTTATTGTCTTTTCTTTTTTGCATTAACTGTGCTTGGGGGCCACGAAACAAATTGTAGGTTGCATAATTCGGCGTTTATTATTAAAACACACGCGGAGCTCGAATGGCTACTCGTGTTTGGTTCTTCCTGCTCTGTCTTTCCCATCAATTTTTGGTAGTACGAGATGCTATCGTTATGCACGGCGTTTTTTTCAGTCAGTTTCCAGGCCACGGTCCAGCATTTAGACTTGATATCTGACAAATCGACACACACATTAACTCGAGGTAATTTGGCCAAAGATGAAAAAGTTGTATATATTCGGGCGTATCCGATGGCATCAGGTAGCTAATACAAAAATGTACAGAGAAAATAGTGTCTGCCTCGTAGTGTTCTAAAAAGGCTGAAGAAGAGGTGTGTAGAGGTAAAAGAAAGAGAAAGCCCTGTGTTTTTGTTTTTCTGTCCTCCCGATTAATAAGAGCCAACGCCATACCAAATGCCAGAGAAGTAGAAGAAAACGGAAAACAAGCGAGAAGCGTCCAAGTCGAGCTTTTTCGGGTGGCAAAAGCAGCAAACAGCGTTGCACGTGCAGGCCAAAGACTTGGTTTACTCGGCGCCGGTGCGATCCTCGGGCACCGACAGCGTGCCAAGCTTGTCATCCAGCCAGCGCGCCAGGTCCGACGTGTGCCTCCGCATAGCCACGATGGACAATGCCGCCGCAGCCGACGCCGAGCCGTCCTCAGCACTCGTCGTCGTCGACGACGTCTGCGCACCCACGCTGGCCAGGCTCTCCGTCTCGCCCCCGGCTCCTGCCGTGGTGCTGGTGGTGGCGGCGGCGGCGCCGAGCAAGTCCGCGCTCTCCAGGGCCTGCGTGACGGCCGCGATGCCGCCTGGGGTAGTCGTGGGTCCCCCGGCGGTAGACGACGGGCCAGACGACGAGGACGCGGTGGCGGCTTCGCCGGCCGCGGACGACGACGACGACGACGACGCGGACGTCGGCCCGACGCAGACCAGGAGCAAGCCGCACCGCAGACGCCGAATGATGACGGTACCGCCGCTCAGCTGCACCGTAATGGTGACGGGCTTGACGGCCGCGCCGGGCGCTACGGGCGCGAGCTGTCTCGTGTCCGCCTCGTCGTCGGTGCCGCGCGCCGTCTCGTCATCGTCGTCGTCGTCGTCGCCGCTCTCGTTCGCGTCGGCGGCCGCCGCAGCGGCGTGGTGGCTCCCGGGCAGCGCGGCAGGAAGCGCGGCCGACGACGCCGTGTGGATGGCGAGCAGCGAGGCGGCGACGGTGGCGTGTGTGCGCAGCACGGCGACGGGCTGCTGCGCGGCCGACGAGGCGTGCGCGAGGAGCTTGCCGTGGCTGGTGGTCAGCAGCAGCGTCGGCAGCTGCGGCGACGTGTGCGCCCGCAGAAAGGCGTTGAGACGCTTGGTGAGCAGCAGCGGCGTGGCCTGCGGGAGGACGGCCATTGCTTCTTTCTTTGGGGGAGCTTTTCAGGATTTTCTCGAGGATGGTTGGGAGCTTGCCCCTCGGCCGTGTTTGGGGGGGGCTCGATCGGTGCCCGGCGTGTGAAGAGCAGGGCTGTGGCGTGGAGGGGGTGGGCGTCGACAGCTTCTTGAGGGCGCGGACGGGGCTTGTGATAATTTTGGGTGGTGTTTTGGAGGTTGGAGGTTGGAGAGGTGTGAGGCTGAAGAGCGGGCACGGGACCACTTGGCAGAGGGCGTCCGGATTGGGGGTGATACCAAATACAACAAACCTTTCAGCAGGTGTAAGTACTACAATGCTCTTTTTTTTGTTGGCATCTCTCGAGTAGCCGCCCTGTAATCGGCTGGCATTTTCTAGGTTTTGGAATTCTTCACGGGCTATGTACGTTGATTCTTTCCACGGCAACAAATGGAAGCAAACGCACACAAGTCCACTTGAGGGACTAAGTACCTTGACTGTATCTGAGTTGCTCCAAGTGCAGCAACACAATACGTGCCCAGTTGCACATCACAATCGACAAACTTCTTTCAGGTGAATAATACATAACGATGACTGTTCTTAATTTATGATGGTCGTCTCTTTTCTTCTTCTTTTTACTCCATCGGTCAGGTCATCCATCATCAGCTCTGAACTACTCATCTTTAATTAGGTACCTAGCGTACCTAGCCAGTCGCCCCCACTTGAGCGAATCGTAAGTTTGACGACATCAGCGTCATCTCCCAATTTTGCTCCACCGATCTCAACTATAAACAGAGCAAGGCAACTATAACTATGTATCCGTATCCGTAGTTGGATTCATTATCGAATGTCCTCGAAGCTATGAAATTTGCGCCTTGCCTAATATTGCCGGCCTCAAAAGAATCTGCGCGGAGCGTGGTCGGCATTCGGCGGCCCATCTGATGTGTCCTTCCTTTTCCCCGCGATGCGGGCTGTCCATGTTGAGATGCAGTCAGCTAGTAATACTGCACCAATCCAAACCCCGTCTTGACGAGCGTCATTTTCGACTTTGATATACAGCACGGAAATCCGGCACGTCGCCCGCATATCAGCTCCCGAGTGTCCGGCCTGTTCGCTGCTCCTGCCCGGCGGTGCGGAGCGGCTCGGGCAAATCGACTTTCCTGATTGATACAAATCGCGAACGGCGAGCGACGTGCACAATATAGAAACGAAGCAATTATCCACTTGTTGACCGATGATGCCGGGCGAGGGGTAGCATCCGAGAGCAAAGTAGAAAAACAGTTGCACAAGCCCATACTGTGAGCTGTTCTGGGGTGTCCGCTCGCGAGTATAAAGGGTCAGGCTTTCTAGTAGACGGCCGAAAAAATCTAACTCGCTTACTGACTTACCTGTATACCATTCGTAACCTTGAATTTTCTCCCGCGATGCAGTTCTCCTCCTTCTTCCTCATGGCCGGCCTCATCGGCATGGCGGCAGCTCAGTGCGCTAGCACTAACGGAGTGTGCCGTGACACGGGATGCCGACTACATGGCGGCATCTGCGTTTCCGGACCCGGGCTTTGCTACTGCGTATGTGCTGCTTTCACTAGTGTTTAGCTCTCGGTCAATGCTGATATACAATAGGGATATGGCCACGCGATCGCTGCTGCTGAAGCTGACGAGCAAGAGTGAGGTGGAAGCAACTAGAGCACTGGCTCAGAAGTGTGCCTGTCCAGGGTCTGCCATGGCCAATAGTGCTTCTAGCCAAGAAATAGAAAGAAATATAGAGATTATGGTATTGCTCTTCCGTTTCCGTTCTGACTAGTAGATGGGGTGTTTTACGCTTCATTATTATGTGGTCTCATGAGTCGTGCGGATAGCAACGTTCCGCTCTATAGACGACAGTCATCGAGGTTACAGCCTTTCATCGAGGCTGCCATCTTGTCACACTTCTGAAGACATCCGTATACTTGGAACCTTTGACGGCGACTTCTCGGATCTTGCCGCGGCCATCAACAGGTTCCCCAGGCAAGCGACAAGAGCGGGTACGTCGTCCATCTGATCGGTATGTAGCCATCTACAATGGAGGCATTGTACTGCTTCTTTGTCGGCGGCAAGCAGTAATACAACATGCTTACATATCTTATAGCACCTGTATACATCACAAGGCTGTCATCCGCATCCGAGCCGGTGGCGGGCAAGGCCTCGGAAGCTCCGAAAACCGACTAGTTTCACAACCGGCATCAGCATGCTGTAGAAAAAGCAATATCGGTGGCGAAGGCGTTGCATGGCCAATGCGACCAGAAAACATCATGCAGCTAGCCGCCCGAGGAAAAAAAGTTGCGCATATAGTGTTCGACGTCGTACGGCATCACGCAGATGGAGGGAAAATCGGGTTGTGAGGACAGACAAAACAGCAGCGCATGAGGGGGTGTGTGACGTTGTGTGGTGATTCGAGATCTGCTGTTGAGGGATGGATCGAATGGTTTCAAGAGGATGGGGCCGACCGGGCAGAGTGTGTGTGGCACGTGTAGTCGTACTTTTCCAAGCGCGTGCGTGCTGGTACTAACTACTTTTCTTTTTCCCTTCGTCTCCTTGGTGAGAACACTCATCTGACAGGTACTATCTCAGCGATTGTGCCGCGATGGTGTACATGCGGATACGCTACAGATTTTTACGCAAGAGTTGATTCGTCACAGAGTGACGCACGGCTTGCGGGAGAATGGTGGTGCGAAACTTGACCCTGCATATTTTTCTTCCTTTTCGGACGTATTCTGCTTGCAGTCTTTCAAATGGCCGCAGAGTCTGGATGAGAAACACAATGTTGATTTTTTTCTTCTTCTTTACTTTTTCTTCATCCTTCACGTTTCCGTCGTTTGCGTCGTGGGTGGCTTATGTATTTGGAATGGAACAATAGGGTGGATGCAGCGTCACTGAATGGCGGTGCAGGGGCATTTTGCAAGTAATAATAAAGTCAGCCTCGCCCTGGAATCGACGCCAGCAAACAGTCGACGGGAGATGGCTGGGAGATGCGCTGCAGGAACGAAAAAAGACCTGTCGGCAGTCCACTGACAGCAGGCACGCCCACTGCAAACCCGTTGCAAAAAAGGCGCTACGACAAAGCCGCTGCAAGGGCCCGGGCGCTAAACCGTCCTGGAGCCAATCAGCAGCTGAAACCCCTGACTGGTGTAGTGAGCCCCTGTAAATTGCCTCACCTGCTGCTTGCGGAAGGCCAGGGAGAGCCCCTAGAACCAGGACCCCGGTTCATCCCCAGTCCATCCAGTCCAGTCAAATCCCGCTAATCGGGCAGGTCCTGGACCACGAGGCCCACTCGCTCCCTCCCGCTCAAACCGTCCTTGGCCCTCGCACGCTCTAACGCTCTAACGCTCTAACCCACCCCCCCCTCCCTCCTCCTCCTCCTCCTCCTCCTCCTCCAGCCTGTTTGTTCCATCTTCACGTCCCAATACATTCCAAACAAATACCCAACTCCCCACGCTCTTTTTTGATTCCCCTTCTTTTGCCCCAAGCCCCAACGGCTGACTGCAATCCTTTGTACAAATTATTTTCTTCGCTATTCAGCCTCTTCCTATACACGCACATACCCCCCGTCGTCCCGTTTCGTCTGGTTTTAACCAGCCTCGCGATTGCGCCACCCATCATTCATTCCTCACTTCCGTCTTGGCCCTTCGTTCCCAGACGCCTTGAGAAGCTCGGCCTCGTTTTCTTTTCTTTTTCCTATTCGCTTTCTTCCTCCTGCTTGCGTCTGGCTCTGATGCTTTACATAGCATCCCAAACATAGCCTCGACTCCGACGTTTGAGCTGTGGATGGACGACCCCGGCCCAGTCGAGGTCACTGTTGCTTCTGCGCGACATGTTTATCTCTCAGCTTTAATTTAATCACCACGAATCTTCGACGCTCGAAACACGATTTAACTATTCTCGATCTTCTTTGACTCGTACGCCGCGACGCCGTACCACCCTTCATTCACTCGCGTCACGTTCTACCAATTCGCACCACCACCACGGTCGACCCTTCGCAGGCGAAGGAGACCTGTGCCATCGGCAGGCCCGTTTTACACCACCACACTATAGTTGGAACCTTCCGCGGCTGATTCCACTGCCGCCGCGCCTCACTCTACCTTTTCTTGTCTGGCTGGCCGACAGTAATCATGCCTTGTTGCTGCGGGAACAGAAAGAAGCAGACTCGCGAGTTTGCCGAGCAGAAATGGGACTACATCAACCTCAAGGACTTCAAGGCCACCGGCTGCGGCACTCCCTTTGCCTATGGCTATCTCTGGTTCTCCCTCATCCTATCCATTGCCGTCTACTCAATTGACAGCTTTACCGCCGTCCAGTTGATTGCCTTCAACAGGTGGTCTTCTGCCATCCGACCAGCCATTTCTTTTGATGTCTCCAAATGGATCTTTTTCATTTGCATCATTCTATCATTTATCAACCTTGGATACGAAGGCATCCGTGCCACCCGAGTTATCAAGCGCAACAACATTGCCGAGTCTTACCTAGATCCCCTCGCCGTCCGCTGGGAATCAATTCGCGTTGGCAAAGCGCAGGGTTGGCGCCGCTTCCTCGTCTTTGCTGCCTTGACTCAGAGTAAAAAGGGAGCTCACTACATTGCCCTTTTTACCTACTTTAGTTTCAAATGCAAGTCTTCTCTCTTGCCCTGTTCAACTTGTTCACTAACATACTCCAGCTTGGATCCGTGTCTTGGTCTGCTCCGGCCCTCGCCAGGTCATCAATGCCTTTACACTCAAGTCGGTCTACGAAGCCAAGCTCGCTACCAAAGCGACTTCTGTCGATGGCGCTTTCCTTGGCTTCTTTGACAAAGTCAAGGTTCTTGCCCAGGAAGACTATCGCCAAGCCGTCATTTTGTCTGGCATGGCTTTCACCTTTGTAATCTGGGCCTTTGCTCTCATCTTTCTCCTTCTCGCCGTCCTCTTTTACGTATTCTTCTTGTTTCACTGGATCCCGCGCGCCGATGGGGGTCTGACCGGCTACTGTGAACGCAAGATCAATGCTGCGTTATTGACAATCGTCACGAAGAGGGTCAACAAAGCCCTGGCCAAGGGCGAAGCCAAAAAGTTCAAGGCAGAGGCCAAGGCTGCCAAGATGACGGGCGAAACCCTACAGCCAGAGCGTGCGGCTACTTTGCCCGATTTTGTCGCCCTCGCCGACGATAAGCTACAAGGCATGCCCATACTCAACCGCTCCGACACTGGAAACACGCTTCCTCCCTACCAGACTCGTCCCAACACCCCAGGGGGTATCGAGCTAAGCAGCATCAACAGACCAGCTTTCGCCCGCAGTGAAACCAATGGCTCCAGCTACTCTCCCACCGTACCTCTGATGAGCGCCGCCGCAGACATGGGTTACGGTCCCGTGTCTACCCAGCCGCCCTTGCCGCCGCCACAGCGTCCCGGCACCGCTATGTCACAACGAAGCCAAGTTTCCGCTATGGCGCCGTTGCAGCGCCCTGGTACGGCCACCTCACAACGAGGCATAGCCATGGGTGTAATACAACAGCGCCCCGGAACCGCTAACTCACAGCACAGCCAAGCACCACGGCCTGGCACGGGCAACCAATATCCATACAGCAATACTCCCACTCACATGCCTGTAGTGGGGGAAGAGTCGTATCAAGGTCTGGGACAGCCAACTCTGCCTCAGCTCTCTATCGCAGGTCCAACTGCCCGGTATGGGCTCGGGCCGTCAAGCTCGCAACGGAGCGTTGGATCATCACAAGATGGGTCTGAGCGCGGATTCCGCCAGGGAGTCGGCAATGCTACACCCCAAGCACAATCAACCCAGAGGCAGTTTCAGCCATACAACCCCAATTCCAGTGCCAGACAGCAAGGCCCCCCGACAGCGAACCTATACTCTGCCGAGCAATACGGAAACCCGATACATCCGCCAGTTCGCAGCGCTACAGCAGCCTCTGCGCCTCCGGGCGGGCCGATGTATTCCCCGCAAAGATCCGTGACTGCTCCGGTTCCTAGCCGGGCGGCAACAACTGATCCGTATATCCAACGCGGCCTGCCTCCGCAAAATTCATCTTTCGCCCCCATTCAGCGAAGCAACACTAGTGATGAGTTTGCAAACGGTGTCTGGGTTCCCCCAAGTCAGCGCAACAGATCCGGACCGCAACCGGGAAATGGAGGCTGGGTTTCACCGAGCCAGCGCAACACTCCACCGGCATATGACTTGGAAGCGCAATACAAGGACGGACAGAGAAACCAGTATTAATATCTATTTGAAAGATGGACCATTTGTCTCAGTGTTTGGAGTTTTATTATGAGTGGCCAGGAAGAGCCAAGTATGCAGTACGTTATGATACCCAACCCGCAGCATGCAACGCGAGCGGTTACGACGGTAAACTGCAGGATAGGATAGTACATGAAGATTATAGCCACGGTACCAATACATTTGTTTTTTCCGCTCGTTGCATCAATTTCCTCGACATGGTTTTCTTTTTGTGGCATTCCCGGCCATTATAGCATAGCTTCAAACGCTGAATGCGGACGAAATGATTCCACATGAAGCCACTGGCTAACTAAGTCGAGTTTGGAAAGATGCGCGGCGGGGCGCGCTGGACAGTGGTGAGCTCGGTCTGATTTGTAACCCAACCTCGCCCTACCATTGACATTGCTAATCCCATCATCGCTAATGTGATGCTGCCATTACTGCCGGATCTGCTCTTGACCATGGAATCCTTTGTCAAACTCAGGAACTCCATAAGCTTCAGCCGCCGCTGAAAAACACTCCCCCTGTGCTCACCAAGCACTTTTCCATGATATATTAACCTTGTACCCTCGCACCCTCCCATGCGTGTCAACTCGTCCATTCTCGCACTGATCCCGCAGCTCCTCCAGCCGGATCGCATCTTTCAGCCCACCACTTACTCCTTCCCCTACGGACAAGCGGACAGCATGCCCGCACGAATCGACACCTTTCACGAGGGCGAGACGGCCGTGCGCACCCTGCTCAAGGTGCCGCCCGGCCGCAACCCGACTGCGGCGGGGCTACCGGCGTCGTACGCCGCACGCGTCGCCGCCTCCC